CCCAAAGAGAGCCCTCATTAGTGAGATCAAGAGTAGCAAAGTGTGCATCCATCTTTCTCCCTAGGCTTGTCGTGGTCAAGTGAGAGTTCGTGCTTGTTACTCTTGGTGATCGCCATCACCTAGATGGCTTGGTGGTGATTGGAGAGCTTGGTAATCATCCGGAGAGCTTGTGGATGACCCAACTCAAGTTGTGAGCGGTTGTGGGTGATTCACCACGACGGAGTGTCGAAGAATCAACCCATAGAGAGCACTTGATCCTTGCGCGGATCAAGGGGGAGCTACACCCTTGCGCGGGTGCTCCAACGAGGACTAGTGGGGAGTGGCGACTCTCCGATACCTCGGCAAAACATCGCCGTGTTCCTCCTTCTCACTTTACTTTGAGCATTTACTTTGAGCAATTCAATTCTTGTCATTTACATTCTTAGAATTGCCATACTAGAGTAGGATTGGAACATAGGTTGCAAGTCTTTTGTGCAGTAGAACAATTAGGAACACTTTTTAGGCATAAGGGGTTAATTGGGCTAACAGTAGGATTTAATTATTACAAAGAAATTTAGAATTAGCCCAATTCACCCCCCCCCTCTTGGGCATTTTGATCCTTTCAGTCGTCTGGAACCTGGTAAAGCCATTGTACCTCTCCATTTTGACTTTGTGCTATTTCAATACTATGTTTCTATTTATTATGTTCCTAGTTTGCTCTAGTAGTATGCTTTATATAGCCATGATTGATAATGAATTTATTCATAAGATCACAAAGCGCTTAGCTCAGGACTCGAGTAAGTTAAGTGGTCGACATTATGTAAGCGTGGTGCTTAAATATTGTTTACCTATGGATGCACTCTACATTCGGGCCATGTGGTAGATCGCGAGTGTGACATTCTCGTTGAGTCCTTTATGGTCCACTCCCCGTTTGAATAACAAGTAGAACCCGGTTGTGAAGGGAATCAAGCTCTCTTCTTGATCTTCCTTAGTAATGTTCCTTATGCTTAGATACAGAGTTAGTTATGCTATAGATGAAAGTATATATACTAGGATGTACAAAAGACTTAGTAAGTAAGAAATGACTTAGGAATTCTTTCTCTTAACTAATCTCCTGCCTAGCCATACTACATTTATGAGTATCTATTTCTGTCTCTAGATTATTATCAATGCCTGGCACTTATCATTTATTTGTCATCTAACTTACCCCTGTTAAAGTATATGTGTAGTTAATGATCTTATCATAAGTATACATATTTGTCGATATCTCTAGCCACCCCATCGCTCCTCCCTGTGCAAAAATATAAATAACGATATTTGGTATACTCCCGGGTGAAATGCTATAATGGTATATTATCTGTGTGCTTGCGGATTACTTTAACATATAAGATTTTCTCTGAGTTTACAAATGTCATTAATAATTACCAACAAACGTTTCTAGCATCATTGCTTGGGATGACAACCTAGTGAGACTGATGTTAAGAAATATCAACAAGCATTTCTGGCGCCGTTGCCGGGGAGGGGCACAAGGCCAAAAGAGAATTGATCAAATAAATACTTATTGATGAAATCATAACTATACACCTCTGCTTTAGCAGGTTTACCCTTGTTTGTATTTGCTCATATCTTATACAAGGTATTGTAGGATTGGTTTTGATCCACCAACAAATTCCATCAATCACAATCAAACCAATCAAGAGCAGCTCAACACCAGTTTCTGAATTTATGGCTGAAAAGACCCTGCGTGAATTCTCTGCTCCAAGCACTGAGAACATCCGAACTGGACCAACACTCAAAACTGATAACCTTGAGTTTGAGCTCAAACCAAGCCTCATCAACATGGTGCAAGCTACCCCATTCAGCAGAAAGGCATATGAAGATGCTAGTGCTGATCTCTAGAATTTCCTGGAGATTAGCAACACAATGGTCATCAAAGACGTCGCTCAAGATATCATACTACTCCGCTTATTTCCATTCTCGTTAGTGGGAAGGGTGAAGCAGTGGTTTTATACCAACAAAGATAACATCAATACATGGGCAAGATGTTCAAAGGCTTTTCTAGCAAAGTTTTTCCCTATAGGCAAAACTAATGCATTAAGAAGAAAAATTTCCAACTTCCAACAACAGAAAGGAGAAACCATTCTAGAGGCATGGGAGCGTTTTCAAGAATACATTTCAGATTGTCCTCATCATGGGATGAAAGATTGGTTGCTCATGTAACGCTTCTACCATGGATTAATTTAGGAAGCTCGTGAACAACTAGATGCAACTGATGGAGGAGCATTTATGTCACACACCCTTGGAAAAGCTGAAACTCTTATGGAAAAGGTAGCCTCTAACCAAGGCTGGTCTCAATGTAATATCCAATCATGCAATAAGAGCGAAGAAGTACCACAAGAGGTGTGTGCACTATCAACCAAGATGGACGTAATGTTGAATTGGCTCGAACAATGAGCCAATTATAAGAAAGATCGTCAGGCAATTCAAGATGCTTATAATGCCCAAAACACATGTGGAGAATATTTAGGGGTTGATTTCCCCGAATATCAAGAAGATGCAAATATTGTCAATTCTGCTCCACAACAACAGAGACAAGGATGCGGACAACAACAGTCAAATTACCAAGGTAAGTACCCAGGTAATTACTATAATTCTTCTAGTCCCAAATAACCATCCTCGAGAGATTTGATCTTAGAACAAGCCAAGATTAATGAGAGCATTTCTAAGAAGATTGCTTCTAATGATATGGTCCTAGAAAATATAAACACTAAAATGGAAAGTTTTTCTTCTGCTATAAATGACCAACTTAGCTATAATAAAAAGATAGAATCACAATTAGCCCAATTGGCTGTTGCTTTGCCTTTTGCCACTAACCTTGAAAAGATCAACGCTATAGCCACAAAGGGGTGGCAAGTCTACTCGTGATCCTCCATATCCAAAGGGCAGGTAAGACACCAGCAGCAGTACAAGAATAGAAGAAGAATGATGATGTTGAAGAAGTTGAGCCACAAGAACAGGAATTGAAACAAGATTTTTATGACACCAACCTCCTACCGTTTTCACGTAGAAATCAAAAAGCCAAAGTGGATGAGCAGTTTGGTAAGTTTGTAGAGGTAATTCAAAAGTTATATGTCGGTGTTTTTTACCGCCAGATATTTGGTTCTTGGGGAACCCCGCTTGGTGCAAAGATCAATCACAGATGGAGACAAGATTTATACTGGTTTGGGCCCTCGGGACGTGAGTAAAAGCCTTACGTCCAGTTGCTACTTATTTGTATTACGATCTCATCGAATACCGAGATGGCGATTACAAGATGGCTATACCTAAGAGAATTTCGATGATTACAACAGTGGGTATTGCTAGCTATTTATATCCGAGATCAACTTGCCCCTCAAGCTAAGTAGTCGTGTCCCAATCGGAGTCTTGGTGTAATCCGGAGATATCCTTCCTCGAATAGGGCCGCCACGCCTTGTCGAGACTCTTCTGATCCGGAGTCAGTGTTTAGCAAATCCTGTAGTCGGGATACCCGGGGGTATGGCATCGACATAAGCCCCCAAGCTTGTCTGTCAAACGCATCTTGACTATCCGCAAGTAGTCGGGATTGCCTTAGTCGAGTGGTTTGTACTTTGGGTACCAAGAGGTAGCCCGAGTAACCAGTTGCGACTTTGAACCCGATCTGTGCAGATCGATAAAATGGTGCCCTGTTAGGAGATGAGCTTGTTCTAGTGCCATGCCCGGGCTGTCTTGTCAACGCAACTTATCGCTCGCTTGTGTTCGGGACTTTTTAAGTCGGGTGGTTTGAACTCGGTTCTGGGGGAACTCTAAGTAACCACTCTCGAGCGAAGACCCGAACAACAAACGTTGGAAAGCTGTGCTGTTGAGAGATGAGCTTGTTTGAACAGTGCCATCCCCTTGTAGTCTTGTAATATAGATCGGATATTTTGTAGTCATCGAGACTTATGTAATTAAGTTTTGGCATTCGGGAACTTTATGATCGGGCACCTTGAGATCGGGTGCTCGCAATCTAGTTCTCTAACTCTGAATAATTTCCACCTCAATATTACTTGTGACCGAGTACCTCGCAATTGGGTATTTTGCGATCGAACTCTATTTTCAGTCAGGAGCTGATCGTAAGCCCTGAGCTCTTGTTCTAGCAATGGCCGAGTAGAGGAGTCGGTGCACGATCCCGGCGTTTTGGGCTTGGGAGCCCTGAGCATCAGCTTGACCTTTGTGGGTGAGTAGTTGGTCACCGTGGCCGAGTAGCTCGGACGGCTCGCTTGTGGCTCGTCGACGGCTCGCTTGCGGCTCGGACGGCTCTAGAGTTTGCTAAATATGGGTCCGTGTGAAATTTGTCATGTGCCGTTCGTGCATGTATGCATGCATGTGTACGTAGAAGCACAGCATGTTTATTGCTTGCGTGGCACTGTAAGACGTACGGACTCCTTATTTGCTTTGCTTGCTGTTGACTGGTTTTGTATTTGTCTGTTGGTTGAGGCCGAACGAGGATCCCTCGGGGCCGAAAGCATCCTTATCGGCTGGGCAGCTTTCTTGCTGTGCCGTGTGCGTGTCGATCGGCGCTGAGTAGCACCATGCGGGCGCCGTATTCAACGTTGCCGTGGAGGCCGGGAAGTTGTTGCTCTGAGGTGAACGAAGTGGATCCGATCTGTACAAGACATCAGCCAACTTCCAGGCGAAACGCATCTACCTACCCTACCCTATAATACATCAGTTAGAATAAATCTATAGCCACACAATAAATACCTGCTCTACAGTCATGACCTATGTTACATCCACACCCATGAATACACCCAGAAAATATAACATATCAAAACAGATGCACTAGATTATCTCTTAGTCATTCTCTCTCATTACTCATCCAAATCCGATGGCTCATATTTAGTGTGTCTGCCCTCCAGCTAACCTCCCACGGGGGATTTCAGCACCAGCGTTAGGGGAAAAAAACAGCATTTCAGCATCGGCATTTCGAAAGTTCCACACCCTCGCCTGGCTGGCTAGCGGCCATGTCCCTCCCCGGCGGCAACGGCGAGCCCCCTCCCCTTCCACCGCTGTTCCCCTCACTCATCAAGCTCGGCCGCGCGGTCACCGCGAGAAACGTCGACCACCTCCTGACAGTGCTCCTCCGCCGCCGCAGGCACCGCCTCCTCGCTGCGCTCGCCTCCCAGGCGCTTGCCAACGCCATCGCCCCTACTCCGCGCACGCACCTCCTTGTCGCCTCCGCCCTGCTCGACTCCGCGCGGCCGCGTGACGCCGCACAGCGCCTCGCGCTTGCCTCCCGCACCGCCAGTCGCCGCCTCTGGGATGCACTGCTCCGCCGGGCCTGCGCCGGGGGCGGCGACCCGTGCCACGCACTGGAGCTACTCTCCGCTGCCATCGAAGACCACGGCATGGTGCTGTCGCCTTCCACGTACCGCGACATGGTGGTGTTGCTGTGTGCCCACGGGGAGGTGGATTGCACGCTTAGGGTGTTCGACTTAATGACCAGGAGGGGTGTCAGGTAGAGGATCGCGTTTGCAGCTGGATCGTTTCTGGGTTATCCAGAACTGGGAAGGCCGGAGCAGGGCTGGATTTCTATGAGAAGGTGAAGAGTCAGTTCAGTGGATTTGATCCGGGCCTTGTGACACTGACATCAGTTGTCCATGCTCTTGGGTTGGAGGGGAGAACTGGTGAGATGGCGGAGCTTATGCGGGAGATGGAGTGTAAAGGCATGAATGCTGATGCTGTGTTTTACGGCAGCATGATTCATGGATACATGAGTCGTGGGTTCTTGATGGAAGGTCTTCGGGAGCATCGATCCATGCTAGAGAAGGGAATCGAAGCTGATGTGACTAACTATACTACTGTTATTGATGGACTCTGCAGAGAAGGTAGTGTGGAGAAAGTAATGGGGTTCTTGGATGAGATGGAGCGAGTGGATGCTAAGCCAAATTTGATTACTTATACATCACTGGTTGGTGGCTTCTGTAAGAGAGACAGGTTGGAAGATGCTTTCTCTATCGTGAGGAAACTGGAACAAACAGGCGTGGTGGTGGACGAGTATGTATATTCGATTTTGATTGACAGTTTGTGCAAAATGGAAGATTTAGACAGGGCTTTCTCGTTGCTCACGGAGATGGAGAATAAGGGAATAAAGGCTAGCATCATAACATACAACGCGATAATAAATGGTCTGTGTAAAGCTGGTCACACTGAAAAGGCTCTTGAAATTTCTGAAGGTGTTGCTGCTGATAATTTCACATATAGCACACTGTTACATGGTTACATCAAAAGAGGTGACATAACCGGTGTTATGGCAATAAAGGATAGGCGCTTGAAGGTAGTGGTATTTCTATGGATGTTCTCACATGCAATGTTCTTATCAAAGCATCGTTTATGATTAACAAGGTGAATGATGCCTGGAGCTTGTTTCATAAAATGCCTGAGATGGGCTTAAGACCTAATACTATCACCTACCATACAATCATAGACAAACTGTGTAAAGCTGAGGAAGTTGACAAGGCACTGGAGTTGTTTGATGAATACAGGAAAGATTCAGGATTCTCCACTGCAGTTGTTCATGAGTGTCTGACTAAAGCACTGTGTAATGGAGGAAAAGTTGACATGGCTGACCAAATATTTTATGATCTTGTTCAGAAAAAATAAGGCCCAATTTCTTTAACTGCAGGAAGTTGATTCAGGCACACTTCAAAGGACACTGAACATGGTGTGCTGAATTTCATTTGTAAGGTTGGTGAATTAGATATTGACTTATTTTCATCTGTTTGTAATTATGCTTCGGCTTTCTTAAGCAACAGAAATTGTTGGCAAGCAGCAATGGATGCTTACAAGTTACTGAGAATGCAAGCCATTGCTGTGACTAGATCCGTTACGTTAGCACGGGCATTATACTAGTCTAGATAAAACATCGCCGTGCCTCTTGGTTGGTGTAGTTGTCGGCTCTTGTAGATCGGGCCTGTGGCTGGCCTTCTTGATTGGCCGATGAGAACTTTATGATTGGGCACCTTGATCGGGTGCTCACAATCTAGTCTGCTGAATCATAGAAAATTTATCTTGGAATTTCTCGTGATCGGGTACCTCGCAATCGGATACTCTGGATCTAGGAAAATTTATTTCTTGGAATTTCTCTTGATCGGGTACCTCACAATCGGATACTCTGGATCTAGAAAAATTTATTTCTTGGAATTTCTCTTGATCGGGCACCTCACAATCGAGTGCTTTGCGACCGAGTATTCTTGGTCGGGAGTTTGTTGTCAGCCCCGACCTCTTCTTCCAAGAATATTGACAATGTTCGTGATCTTGGTACTCGGGTACGCAGACTTCAGGAGTTAAGAGTTTGGTGTTTGGTAATTAGAATTACCAAAACACTCTTCTTGTCCTGACTTTGACTTTCTCAAACATATATTGAGCTGTCATATCTGCTAGCAATCATGCTGTGGTAAACACTGTGGTGACTATCTGTATTTTCTGTTAGCTATCTAGTATGCTTAAGTCATATTTGGGAATTTATAGCATTCGGGACTTGAGCGGTCCGCCGCACTATGTATTCCATGCAGTTGACTTTGAACATATAGTCTCTTAGGATTTTCAGAAGGAACATGCTCTGGTTATTGTCATAGATCTGTGATAGCAGATAATCATGTAAGCGTCGAGGCCCGAACATGTGTTCGGGTGGATGAACGATAGAATCCCGATTGTAAATTTGGGTCAATGATGGAGCTTCTGAATATATCCTGTTTTAAATCCTTAAAATAATTAGCAACCAGCTCCGATTACATACTTGAAGGGTTATATAGAGAAAAATATTAAAGAAAAATAAGACAATAAAATTGCTTTTTTTGATTGGTGAAAATAGAAATTATTCAATATAACCAAACGAAGTGCGCTTAGCTTGTTGAGGCTATTTTGGTAGCACCCAGAGTTTGTTCGGGGCATTAGTAGATGAGACTCGAGCGGTCATCCATGCGTTAGTCCCTTGAAATAAGCATACTTGATAAATAGCTCGATTTATTTTAGTCCAGCAACTTTTAGTTATTTGATATGAGAATTGTAGTAGCCCTCGACTCTCTACTCGGGTTAGCAGGTAACCGAGTAGAGAGTCGAGCAAAAGATTGCAAGAAAGAAAAGTTGAAAAGTTGAAAGAACTTATCTGAAATATAAGAGCGTGACAGGCATGATCCGATTAACACTAATAGGTAATCTGCAAAGTAGTAAATTGACTCGCAAATATGATATTTAGGGCTGTATGAATGACTCGAAAGCGTCATGACTCAAAAGCGTCATGACTCTGTAGCCCCAGCCATCACACTCGGGTCAACAAGTTTGGGGGCAGCCCCCGAGCATTGTATTCGGGTTTGGTGAAAATAAAAGGAGTACTTTTGTGACTTATTGATTTGTAGTACTTTGATCACCTGAGATCGAACATTCCGCCAAACGCAATGGGTCTCTTGTGATGGTACTTTGGAAAACATTAACGAGTTCCTTGATCATTTAAGGTCAAGCACTCCGTCAAGCGCAATGGACCCTCGCATGATGGGCACTTCAGGATTAATGAGTACTTCGATCACTTGAAGTCAAGACTCCATCTAGTCTTCGGACCCTCGCATGATTGTGTACTCCGAGACGTACTTTGGACTCGTTTGAGATCAAGTGCTTTGTTAAGCACAACGAACTCTCTTACGATCAAGCACTATAGGAGATAGAACATGTGTCACACAAGTACTTAGAGTGGTTTTAAGGGTTGTTGTCTTCTCTCCTTGATGTTGTTTCCCTTTGTGTTATGCATTTTGTTCACTTGACCGTAGACCCCATGCGTAGGACACTAGCCATATGATGGTGTGACCCGTACAGTATTGGGTTGTGGTATAAGTTATTGTTGCTAACAAAGCTTTACACATAGACATATCATACAGGTACTTACATCCTAGAGAAAAAGGCGGGCATGCACCAGGGCGTATGGTTGTTTATGTGCAGTAGCCCCCGACTCTACTAAGTTGGAGGCCAATTTAATAGAAAGCAAGAGCAAAAGTAACATAATGAAAATAATTATTGAAGCAACTTAGTTGATCCAACGGGATGTTGGTACCATTGTTGTCGAGTGCTGCCACGGCGAGAGATGGCGGGAGGTCAAAAGCCGTGATGAGAGATTGATCGCGACCGTCCTGAGGATGCCTGCCGACGTTGCTCGAGTAGTACTTGCCGATGATATTGTTGGAAGCGGCATGGCTAGCCCGAATAGTCCGTCGATGGTGCGCTCGATTAGTCGTTGCCAGCGATGCTACCGTCGTACACCCAGTTTGATGACACGTTCGACGTCGTGGATGACGAATCAACGCGCCACAGTATGCTGATGACGAGGTCCACTTGGAACGATGAATCAAAAGTCGAAACATGATGACAACAAAACGACACGAAACAACAACGAGGGCCGCCTCGGGACGATGATGATGAGGGTTGTCGTCGGCTCCTGCCAGTAGTAGTTATGTAGATACATGCAGATATCGAGAGATATACATGTATCATAGAATTTTTTATTAAAATAAATAACATGACTTAGCTTGATTGACGCCTAGTGAAGTAGTCGGCATGTCGTGATGTACGAGTAGGTGGACGCTGCTCGGACGGCTTGCTTGAGGCGTGGGACACCGACGGATGACGAGCGTACTTGCATGCAGCCACGTACTCAGTACAGACCGAGTTGGACTTGCCTTATATGCGTCTTCCTTGCTTGCTCATCGGTTAGCTATAGTGCTGTAATAGTCATGGAGACGCTTGTAGATATATGGAAATATGCATATATTGTAGAACTTTTATTGAAGCAAAGAAGGTATGACTTAGCTGTCAGGGTGTCTTTCGAGACGAGTTTGGCCATGCCATCCTTAGATTAAAGGAAGCCTTCGGTCACGATTGAGGCGGTCGTCGGGTCATGATGACGTGGATGAGTAGCAAAGGAAATTATCTTGACCGACTAACACTTTTGGCCGCGCCTATTGCCATGGCGCGGTGAAGCGCCTGTGCCGCACCATGCATGGTGGCGCGGCGGGAGGATGACGTGACGATGACCGGGGCGCTGACCGATGACGTGGCAGGGTCTGCCGCGCCATAGACCATGGCACGGCACTCTGTTTAATTTTTTTTTCAAAACTAACACTTTTGGTCGCGCCTATTGCCATGGCGCGGCGAAACGCCTGTGCCGTGCCATGCATGGTGGCGCGGTGGGAGGATGACGTGGCGATGACCGGGGCACTGACCGATGACGTGGCAGGGTCTGCAGCGCCATCGACCACGGCGCGGCACTGACGCGTCAAGGCCCATGGCGCGGCAGGACCTGGACGCAGACAGAAGACCAGCCTCAATTGCAATTGAACGGGAGCTGCTATCGGTGAGGATCGGCAACGACGCGACCATGGACCTCGGCTTCGCTTCGCAGCTGTACGGCACCTGCAGCTCCGACCCCAACGCCTTCGCCTTCCTCGACCCCTTGCTGGTGGGCTTCGACAACGCCTTCTACCGGAACCTGCAGGTCGGCAAGGGCCTCCTGGGCTCCGACCAGGTGCTCTACTCCGACATGAGGTCGCGCAGCACGGTCGACTACTACGTGTCCAACCAGGGTGCCTTCTTCGCTGATTTTGTGGCGGCGATGACCAAGCTCGGGTGGATCGGGGTCAAGACGCCGGCCACCGGCGGCAAGATACGCCGGGACTGCCGGTTCTCGAACTAGTTGCTAGTTAATCTCGCCGGCAGTGCTGCCGCGACGTATTTTAACGAATATAAAGCAAATAAATAGAGTCCGTGCGCAAGTTGACAAGTTGCCACATAACATTTGTTTGACATAAGTTTCGGACGACAATATTTGTTCGAAATAACCAACTAAGTCCCTAGAGTGTAAGGACCCCTCGGACGCCTCGGTCTCTTCGGATTTGTAGGTAACACAATGGGAGTGTAGCCAACGTCGGTGTGGTCACATTGCCGGTGTGTACGGCTCGTACCCTGCAAGTATATGATATGCACGATTACTTATAATATGTATGATCGTTAGTTCATGGAGCCCAAGTATTTAAAGAAACTACCTTTGTTACTACCTGTGAGGCTCCTTGGGTACCAAGTGGGGCACCATATAGCTGAGACATGCCGATCTCGTCCTGCTGCCAATCGTCCCATTGGTGGTGCTGTATGCGGAAGCCCGGGGGGTCATCGTCGTCGTCATTGTCGTCCTCGTTTGCAGGGTCATTCCTAGCGCTATGATGTGGTGGTGTACGCACTGCGGAAGCGGCACCTGTCACCGGCTGAGAAGAGCCAGCTGGTGTCCTCAAAGAGCCAGAAGACGTGCCACCCGACCGCACCGGGTAATCGGGTTCCACCCAAGGAGTCTCCAAGCAGCTCAGCTTCTGAGCTAGCTTCCTGCAGCTCCGCTTTTCCTTCTGCATAAATAGACGTTAAAGTTAGTGCATTTTCCAAATGCATATACACTAAAGAAACATTTTCGGAACGTACAAGTTTATGTTTACCTCCACAAAATCCTCGAGAACGCCTGGCCCCTACGCTCTAGACTCGTGAAGCAGAAATGCTGCTTCGTTGGACAGCTTTGACAATTATGTCGCCTGGGTACAAAAATGAGGTTGGACAGTTTTAGTACACATACTTAA